CATTGCATGATCTGATAAGTCTTAATTTCTGCTGAAACATTCTGATGGTAGGGACAGAATTTGGTATAAGATGAAAGCATGGATCCATCTTGCCTTGTATCAGCTGCTCATGCTAATGCTGATGGTGCAATGGTGTGAGAGTGGAACACTTTGGGGTTCTTAGTACTAACTGAGCATCATTTAAATGCCACAGTCTACCTGAATTCTGCTGTTTGCCATGTCCATCTGTTTACACTGTGGCTATCTTCTATTGACTGTTTCCAGCTGGATAACCGTCTTCAAATGATCTCAAACTGGTTTCTCGTACATGTTCACTGTACTCAAATGACCTCCACAGTCATCAGATATCAATCCAATAGAGCGCCCTTGGGATGTGATACAATGGAAGATTTGGGTCATGGATGTGCAGCTGACAAATCTGCAACTATCTGTAACTAAAAAAGGGGGCTAATATATTTTAAAAAATCACAAAAAATATTTAATATTTTGTTTATGTTCTTCTTTATTAGAGAATGGAAAAAGTTTATTATAAAAGTAACTGGCAAGTACTTCTAAGTACTTTTAGAAGTCTTGTTAAATGGTCAAAAGGTATCTGTCCCTGACATAAATCTGCTCATGAACTACGTTGACTGACACCAGGTTGTGGTCATGTGATCAAAGAGTGCAAAGAGTGTCGGCTTTTTTGTGTAAAAATTTGAATGCCAAACAACTGAGGACATGATTCAAATCTAGTACTTCACAAGGTGACAGAGCACTGTCTTATTGTTTTTAACATTTGACACACATGAATGTGAAAGAAAAACTGTGTCAGCGGGACTTCCGTTCAGTAGTAATTCTTGGTAGTGACGGTCCTTGGCAGCAGTTTGAGGAAGTTGTCTACTGAATGCTGATTGTTTTGTTCAGCTACACCTGCCTGGGGACTTCAGGAGCAGCTGAGCTGAAATGGTGTGTACACCTGCGTTTCTGCCTTTCGCTGAGGTTTTCTATCTACGATTGTAGCTCTTGCTCTGTGTAGACACATTGTTATAAATATAACAATGTGTCTACACAGTGTGTCTATTGCTGCTTTCACTTTCTCTCACATGATTTTTTTTTCTTATTTCCTATCAAGCAGCAGTATGTTGTATTTTTTATCCATCAAGCTATTGATCATTTCTTTTTCAGGAGTACAAAAAGAAGTCAATTTTTGACTTTTATCAACACTGTATGTATATTTATTATGTTTATTTATTATCAACAGATTTGGCAGAAATGTTTCTTTATGTAGAATATTCATTTGAAACCTATTATTCTGAACATTTCAGATAAATATTACCATTTCTATTCAGTCTGCTTTGGACTGGGATGTGGAATGGTTTCCTATAGGCCATTTCGAAGTAAGTTACACTTTTTAAGCCGCTGTTCAAAGTAATTAACCCCTGGCTGAGCCAAGACTGATTAACGACCCATTTATTATTTTTGCTTTCACTTTCAGCACTCACAGTTCCAGTATGTCTTGGTATATTTTGCACCATAGCGTTTGAGATTCTGGGCATGTTTACTGGTAAGTAGAATTTTTTATAAAATCCACACAAACATTTAAAGCGAAATTCTTTTTCCAAAAAGAAAAATGTAATTTTACATAATGCACTGCAGGTTTTGCTTGTCACAATGTCTGTGTTGACTTTTCTACCCTGCTCAGGCCTGCCTGCCCATACTAAAAGATGTAAAGGTGCGCCCTACAACAAAGGAGGTACTTCCTGCTGCTATATCAAAGTCAGAATCCTAATTTTACATCCATATTTAGGTTTTGTATAAAAGCTAAACATTACCATCAAACTCTCCTTAGATACCTACTGGGGATTTGCTGTTGCACTATTTGTTGCTTTGTTGCACCTCCACTCATATCATGGTAAGACCACAATACTTTAAATATAAGACTTTATAGAATACATGGAATATTCAGATACTTAGGGGATATACTATTTTAACTGTGGTTAAATATTGTGTATTTCAGTTTACACACTATCGTATGGATGTGGAATCATAACGTTTGCTCTTAGAGGAGCAAAACGGAAACACAGCTCTCTGAGCTGAGAAGGCCAGTGGGAAATATGGAGAGGAAATATGTTCAGTCAAAATGCTTGATCTACAAGCAAACAAGGGTTTTCTTATATTATGGCACTGATCTTCATTTAACTAAACTTTAAACTCTTTTTTAATCGATTATGACTGATGTGAATTGTGTGGTGGTGGATGTCATTATTTCTTTTTCTTTATTCGCTCCTGTAGGGGGCATGCTAGTACAAGTTTTAGGAGCACTTCTTCAGAATTCATTCAATGTTTTAAAATGTTTTTGAAAGTTGGGATTTGTATGACCCAAAAAAATGCATTTGTTTGTTATGAACAGGAAGCTATGAGAGAGAACGAGAACCTGGTGGTAGTGATTTTAAAATTACAGTGGGGGGATTTACAGGAAGCTATTTAAGTGGTATTTAAGATGATGAGATGGCGACGTTTTATGTCACTGTAGAAACAAACACTGTAGTTTCCTCTTTTTTCCCACTATAAATGTCTCTGCAATCTTGTGAATGTATGTTATACCAATACACTGAAGTTCATCTGACTTTCATAAGATGGGCCTGTCTCATACCAATGCATGCTGAAACTGATGGCTGTTCATAAATTTCATAGATACTTTCCCATTATAGTTGCAGATTGCTGTTTATGAGCAGTGCTTAAATAACACACGTCAACACAAAGGCAAACAGAAACTATTGTAAATGGTCAAAGTCAAATGCAGAGGGCTTTATTACATGAAAGTATGGTACATACAAAATTTCAAGTAACAAAGAAAGTGTTCTTAGGCTGACACGCTGGACGTAACTAGCTACTCAACATCACAGCCCACTATACCGCCTATCAGCACTGGGTGGCTCTTCTTTGCTCGACATTGTGTAAAGATTACACTGCTGTTGAGGTCCAAAAGCAGTGCTAGAGCACAAATGAACACTGAGGTGTGTTGGTTTACGGTAACTGAAATTTCAATAACAAAAGACAATGCTGAATAGAAATAAATTTAAAAACTACAAAAATGAAAGTCAAATCATCTGAATGTTTAAATTCTGGCTCTGCATGACTGCTCTTTATGACGTGTACACATTTCTTTCACTTTGTTTCCTATTGTCTTTCACAACAACAACTCACTAAGTTTCTGTCTGACACACACACTCTATGATAAACACCGACTTAAAAACTATGCCCCACTCAGTATTACAAGCTATAGCAAAACAATATAAAACCACTGTCAGTTGAATGAATCCAAGAGCATTAAGAACACATTAGAGCATCACACAGCAGACATGTAATACCGGATTTTTTTTTAAATAGTGAGCATCCACCAATGAAAATGTCAGTTATGTCCACATCTCTGTCATTGAAACGGGTCTATAACAACGCTGGTATTATCAGTGAGGATATGCATGTTGCATGGATTTGTGTGTCTCAGTTTTTGGTGATAAATACACAAAAAGGAAGGCAAACGTGGAACTCTACTTTAATGTGTACAGCACAAAATCACATTACTTTAGTAGCCTACACACTTAGGGGTATTCACTGTGAACAAAATCAAAGAGTTGGGTGCCATGTGAATCGAAAACATACTTGACTACTTAGCCTTATCTTCAGGGGTGTAATTGGATAGGTAGGTGGTTGCAGGGAGAAAGTTACTTGGCATTGGTAGAGCTGCTGACCATCTTGCGAATGGCCTGGGAAATAGCATCACGGTCGATACCGTAGATCTTCAGCAGCTCGTGGGGTTTTCCACTGCGAGGAATGTGGGACACAGCGAGACGGTGCAGACTGAAGCCAGACTCATTGACCATTGCTGAAGACACTGCTTCGCCAAGACCACCTGTGGAAAAACAGCAAAGGAATATATAAAAGACAAATGTGAAAGACAAATCCACTTAAATGCATTTTTAACTGTCTGGTCAATGTGATGTCTTAAGGATGGGACATTTCTAACATGGTCATCTCAGGCTGTGTGTGTAAAGTCCTGAATTCAGAAGTAAATAAATGAAATGAAATAAAGGTAGCTATATAGAAAAATTATGCCCTTGAATGATATTGTTTTACATTATTTCTTATAGATGTAATAATGTAGCAAGTACTATATTTGTAATTTTGAAGTACTGCCCAATTGTGTCCAAGAATAAAAACATGGAGCGGGAAGTTCAAGCATATTTGGCTCCCATTACAGTATCCAAAAACACTGAGCCTCTGTGAACACATTACATAAAGGGATAACAAAAAAATCATTACAGCTAAGTGTAAAAATGATCCCCTTGAACGTTGCATCACAACTGTTCCAGATGTACAATGGATGAGATGCACAACATCAGACAAATTACAGTTGTTAGATTTCCTTTGTCCAGCCTCGTCCATGCCATCACCCATCCCCTTTCTCTTAGTAGGCACAGGCCAGAGCTGTCTGTGCTATCTAGGTCACAGTCAGCCCCATGGGCACCCGCTTAGCTAAGGAAATCTGACAGCACTCTGCCTCCATGGCTGTCGCACTTACAAAATGCACCACAGTACCAATACCTTGCCTGCAATGAAGGCACGTGACAGGCGGTCTCAGCCCTCAGCCAATAAGCAATTGCCAGCACAACCCGTCTACATCAGTGAACCAATGGAAACATGCCACCACAACACTCCCAAGGATATGCGCCAATGACGAGGCGCAGCCGCATTATATCTACTGAGCTTGTTGCTGCTTGGATGGCGATAGGCATGCAATATGCAAAATCCAAGCAACTTCTATATAAACCTACCTTCGTAGTAGTGGTCCTCGACAGTGAGGATCCTTCCCCTGGTAGCACGTGTGTGGTCGATGATCGTTTTGACATCCAAAGGTTTGAGTGTGAAGGGGTCAATCACTCGGACAGAGATCCTCTCTGGAAGATGAATTTTAGTAGAAAAATACAATGCATAAAGATACATCATACGGTTAACCGAGCCTCAGCGATTGAATATAGGAGAATATAGCAGTTCTGCCAACCTGATGAAGAAAGCATAGTTTGTGCAAGAAACACAAAAACTAAGTTCAGGATAACATTTACATGACAAACTGAACACAGAACCATTCAAAACCTATTCTAAGGAACAGCAATGGTCTAACAGATACATTCTAAATAAAAAATAGAGATATAAATCTGACCAGCTAGCAGCAGATTACAATGTTTTTTTCTTGTAATTGTTCTGGATGTGTCGGCACATATCTTGCGGACCTTTCTTTAGATGTTCAGCTGCAGCAAGGGCCTCGTGCAAAGTCACTCCAGCTGCCACCACAGTGACCTGGTCGTCCTTGCTTTGGTACACCACCTGTCAAAGAGAAGGAAGCTCTTAAACACTATAAGCTGTAGTGTTTCGAGTGATTATTTTGGAACAATAATCTGCCATTTCTGCCTCATGTGTTTATCTCTCACTGTCTTAAGAGAAGCACAAATAGAGTCTCACCTTTGCCTGTCCAACATGGAAGTCCTCATTGCTGTTGTAGATGATAGCACAGTCTTGGCGGCTGGTTCGGATGTAGCAAACACCCTAAATGAAAAGGAAAATGAAAAGATCATTACTGCAATAGATGATCATGTAGGGGAGCTGTAACGCTGCCATTTTTGTTTAAGTACCTTTGTGGTTGCAGCCAGTTCCACAGCCTTCTCTGTAGACACACCATCACAGGGATAGAAAATGGTTGCTGTGGGAAGGGCCCTGAACATAGCTACGTCCTCCAGACCCATCAGGGCAGGGCCCTCCTCTCCTGCAACATACACATTTATAGTTGATTTTATGCATTCAACACTGAGGAAATCTTCAAAAGTTATCCACTTGTTAGGTGAGCTGAAGCATGCAGGTGCACAAGCATAAAGTTCGGCTGCATGCAGTGTACCTGCACTAACAGAGGGACACTTGGTTCCCTGTTGACAGCTTCCAGGGCAGACACGAAAGGAGAAAAGGGGGAAGTTTGAGTAATAGCTGTAAGGTCAAGGAGGGTAAATGGCAAGGAAAACACAGCATTAGAGGGGAAAAATAGAAAGGATTGAAACAACTCACAAACTGACACAGACTTCTTTGTATACACTTGTGAATTTATTAAGGAGGCTGTGGATATATTCTGAGGAACTGGGTGCTCTGAAGTGGCAGAGGGAACGAGGGTGAATTTGTGAAGGTGTGGGTTTGGTGACATGTATGAGAAGGGTTTTCACGTGAATTGCTCATTGGCAGCAGTCTACTGACCGGTGGACAGACCGCAGTGAGAGCCGCACAGATTGATGTTGCTTTCTGAGATTGCTGCCATACGAAGCTGGTCATAGGCGCGAGTGAAAAAGGAAGCGAGAGTGCTGGCAAATACCACATTCCTCTCTCGGGCAGCACATCCCATCGCAACGCTGACCTGGGAAATGAAATCATTATTTCTTAGTACCTTTGCGAGCGAGGAAACCTTCATGTGCCAAACTAAAGAGACACAGGCTGCAAGAACGTCATCACAAAAAGATCACCCAGAGGGTAAAATATCTGTAGTGCAAACCATATTTGAAGGCCTCTTTGAACTAAAGACCACAGTAAGCAGAACGTTTTGCAAAAATCTCTGAAGCTTATTTTACCATATGGACAGGATCAGTGGCATACCTCCTCTTACAAATAATTTCCTTTGTCCTGTCTCCAAACCTTTCCACAGTCCCACATCTTCTCTTCTTTCTCAAAAGTAACATCTGACATTACATAAATGAATTCAACAAAACTCCATTTGTTTTTGTTTGTAACTAATTAAGTTTTTGTACACTGAGAAACAGAACATGTTGGATTTACTTAATTCAATTGTGGACATTGGTTGCACACAATTGTTTTGCTTTGGCAGACAATTAAACAACTGAGTTAAATCAACACAACTCAGTATTTTAATCTTTCACAATTTTTGTCACTTCCACTCTATCTTTTTTCGGGTTGCAGGAGGGCTAGGGGAATAATCCAGAGTCAGGGTTAACCCTAGACAGGTCGCCAATCTTTCACATAGAGATGAACAATCATTTGCACTCACATTCACGGGTAATTTAGAATCACTAACTAACCTAACTAATATACCTGCATGACTTTAACTGTGGGAGGAAACCAGAGTACCAAGAGAAAACCCACTGCAAACTAGCTGGATTGTGGATTTGAACCCAGGTCCTGCTTGCTGTGAGGTAACAGTGCTAACCACCACACCACAAAGCTGTCCTTCCAGGCTTAACAAAAGTAGGAAAGCTATGATTACAAGGCTTGAAACAGAATTTTCTGTTTGTCCTTGACATGTCATCTAAACAAGAACAAATTAAGTTGTTGAATTTCAAACAGATCCTACATGTTTTAATTACATTTACCATAGAAACATGAAATTATTTTCTTCAAATTACAAGTTAGACTTTTGTAAATGCAACAACCAACCAATTTCCTTTTTTTCAGTGTAGGTGAGTCTTGCATTATTTTTGAATTTCATCTCGATAAGCGACAGTTTATTGTACCCTTGAACTTTTGGCTTTTCTCATGCATTCAGCCAGATGGTCCCACCCTCTGTAGTGATTAATATTTTACTTCTGAATACACTTGTCATGACTGCTTATCGTCATGGAAATGCCTGACCTACATTGAAGCAGGCTGCTGCTGGGGACATGAAAAGACAAGGAATTAGAATTTGATTCTCTCTCTTCAAATTAGGATCTGATAAAATGTTGACCGAAGCAAAATAAAGGGGTTTTCTAACCACTGGTGTCAGCAGCTGCCACATTGATGTAAAAGGAGGAACTTGAGTTTTTTATGTGACTATCCTTATATTACAGGGCAGGTACAGACAAGCCATCTATAATTTAATAACATAAGCTCAGTTTTGCAGCTGTGGCAAGCTAGGTTGTGCAGACAGCAAACGAAGAGCAGCTTACTGAGAAGAATCGCTATTAAAAAGCAACTCTGTTACATTTAAAATGAAATGATAGCATTAAGCTAAAAGTGACAGAATGATAGGATTCACATCTGTTTTTGAAGAAATATTTTTTATCAAGAAAAAGGCATAAATTTGACCAAAGATCATACCATGTTTTGCTGAGCTATGTAGCACTCAACAAAACGGTTGGGATGCTCATTCTTAAAGATCTCTGAGTAGGTGAGGTTATTGGTATCTCCATCAAGGGCCACAACACGTTCATTGTAGCGTCCCAGCTTGGCCAGTGCCATTCCGTATGCCTTCCGCGTGGCAATCTGCAGAGAAAAGGAGGCCAAATGAATCAATCATCAATCTTTTTACTTCTGTGGAGTGTTTTGCATGCCTAAGCGATCTCAGGAGCTATGTTTTCGAGGCATTTTGCCCTGGTTGGGTCTTCCAAGGCAGTTTAGTTCTGGGTGATGGACCAGATCAAGAGCACCTCTGTGTAGAAAAATCTAGACACAGATGAGCCCCATTCCCCAAAAGCCAGGCTTGCTGAGCACCTGGTTCCCAGGCCTTAGCTCATGGGGCCTGGATCAGCCACATGGGTCCACCCTCCTGTGGGCCAACCACCTGCAGAAGGGGCTGCAGGAAACCAGTGCTTTGTGTATTGGGCGGCAGTTGAAACCACAAGCTTTTGAAGGGGGTGTGAATAATATGGACTTTAGGCAGCAACCAAACCACAACCAAACCAAGACTCTCAATGATGAACACAAACCACATTTTACTGTTCTTATATCAACAAAAGTTGGTTTGGTTAACATTGTCTATGCTTTCATTTTTAATGAATCAGGCTTTCGCTTTTGTGAAAAATCTATTGTGTTTGCTTCGAGTAAATGCAAATTCAAAACATTTGCTACAATCAAACATGATATATTTATATACCAATTGGTTTTAATTGCTACTTCGTAGATGCACAAGTTCAAGTATGATTGCTTTTGAATTCTTGTCTTGATCATACACATCTTACACATATTTATTCTTTTATTTACACTTAAATTTATGCTCTAACATATCCTTTTGCTTATGTAGATTCCCACAGAGTGGTGATCATGTCTAACCTCCCCTTTTGTTGTCCCTGCACTGAATTAGTTTCCATAATTAATTGTTAAATGGACTGATTCTTATATAGTGCTTTACTACTCTCCCAGAGCCCTCAAAGCACTTTATAAAACATGCTTTAGTCACACCTATCATACAAGCACCTTTTTCTATGCTTAAGTGCTTTCCATCTAACATTCCTACTCTGGTGAATGCATCGGTTAGTATCTTGCCCAAGGATATTTGGCATGCAGACTGGAGCAGGCAGGGATCAAACCACCAATCTTCCGATTAGTAGATGACCTGCTCTACTTCCTGAGCTACAGCCACCCCATACTTGACTCAAACTTCACAGTTTCTGTGCATTTCTTTGTAATATTTTCAGTTAACCACAGAGTTTGTATGATTTGCAAATGTCTGATCCAAACTTATTTACATTTCATACAACATTCCAACTTTTTTGTAGACACTGTTGTTCGGGATTCATTCATTCATTCATTGCTACCTGGATAATAAAGTATTTGTATTCATGTCCACTTTACAGACCTTTTCTCCAGCCTTGTAGCTGGGTGCGCTTGGCATCCTGATGTTTCTTAGGCTGACAGGTGGGGAGTCCTCAATAGGAGCAGGTGGGTACAGGTGCTTGCTGCTACTCATGATACGGCTCTGCAGATCCTTCATGACCATCTCAGCCATGTCTTTGGGCAGAGTTTTGGCGTGCCAACCCAGCTTATCCTCTGCAGCTGAAAACACAAAAAAATGCTCTTATGTTCATTTAATTCATATGCACACATACATTACTTGGTAGGTGCCATTCAGACTGCAAAACTGCAGTGTACTTTTGAATATCATTTATTTTAAAATGAGGGCAAAGGGTGCGAAGATGAAAGACAATATTTACCTGGAATGCCTTTGCCCTTAATGGTTTTGGCTATGATGGCAGTGGGTTGGTGGCATGGCTGGCTCAGAGCCTTGCAAAGCTCCTCTACGCTGTGTCCGTCAACAATGATAGCATGCCAGCTATGGACACACACACATTAAAAGGCTTTCGGTATGTTTCACACATATTTATGTGAAATACAGGAAATAAGAAATACGTAAATATGTGAAATACAGAAAATACAGGAAAATACAGTCTTCCTTCAGAGCTTATACCATAAACGGATGCTAACCAGCCTTTAAATCAGTATGGATTTCTCATATGCAATTTTACCCAAAGGCTTCGCAACGCTTCTGATATTTCTCTACATGATGCTGCAAGGGTGCAGGGTCACTCTGGCCAAGACGGTTGATGTCCATAATGGCCACCAGGTTGTCAAGCTGGTAGTAGGAGGCAAATGACATGGCCTCCCAGACAGCCCCCTCCGACATCTCACCATCCCCCAGCAGACAGAAGACACGGTAACTGGAGAACAAGCCACGATTACATGATTATGACGTGCATACTGTATTTGTGTTTTATGTTTGTGTAGATGAGGGTGATGTGTTGTGCATGTGAGAAAAAAAAGTCATATCTGAGGAAAACGCCTTTCCAGTCAGGCTTGTTTTATCACCATTATCTGACACCTGGATGGGTAATCAGCTGTGACATGTTAAAGCTTCCTGAGGGCTGAGATGTGACTACTTAATTTCACACCTACCTTTGTAACTTACTTTGCCATAAGAGCCAAATAGTGTTTAACTAAGACCATTTTTTGTACTGTTATTCACTTATTAATCACACACGGTCTGAAATATTAGTAGATGAATCAAATGTCATCAAAGTAGCTGCTTATACAAAGGAATATTAAAGTATGACAGCGTTCCACTTTTGTGGCAACTTAAAACAAATAAACAGTCTAAGGCATACGATCAGGATTTTACTCCAAAATGAAATCTGCCTGGGTGGTAAAAATATCTCAGGCGTAACTGCTGCGCCTGTGATTATTAGAGCAGAAGAATTGTTAGAGCAGATCATGTAGCTGCAGTATACACCCACAGAATGTGGAAAATCCTAATTCAAAGCACTACAAACAAAATACAATGCAACGCTGTGTCCATAATTTAAACAACTGAGTTGATATTTTCATGGAAAGCTGCAAAAACACCTTTTTTTCCCATAGGTGTTTTGTGTATTGCGTGTGGACTAGGAATTACCTGGATTTGTCAAAATATTTCCCAGTGTAAGCCATTCCACAGGCCACACCAAGACCCTGCCCCAGCGATCCAGTGGCGACATCCACAAATTGTTGTTTCTGAAATGTACACAAATCAAAGAAATCAATAAACTCTGAGTAGAGTTTGTGCTCTTTGAGTCCTGAGGTGTGTTATAGGTACAGTATGTGGCGGCTTACGGGGGTTGGGTGCCCCTCCAGGGTAGAGTCAACCTGGCATAAACTGAGCAATTCGCTCTCCTTGAGAAAACCTGTTTCAACCCATATGGAGTACAACGCAGGAGCAGCATGACCCTGAGATAGAAGTGAAAAGAAGCAAGGCATTACAATTACAAAAGGAACAGAAGCTCTCATATTCAGACCAGCGGCGCTTACTGACTCTCACCTTAGACAGGATAAAGCGGTCGTTGTTGAAGTTTCTTGGGTCTTCAGGGCGGTACTTCATAGTGTGGAAGAAAAGCACAGACATGATTTCTGCCACACTGCAGCATGACGTGGGATATCTGTACAGTGTATGAGAGGGTGCTGTTAAAATGAATCCAACTAAACAGCAAACTCAAAAACACAGAAAATACAGGTTAAACTTTAATATGTTTATTATTAGTAGCCTACTGTATTTGCATAAAATCCACTATAGCTATATATTTATGGTACTGTCCCAAAAGGCTGCAGTATCACGGTAGGTAAAGCTATCACAAAGCACACTTAATTAGCTAAAATTTCAGCTTGAGATGCCAAATGAAGATTCTATTCAAAAGAGTGCAACACAAAAAAGTCAAAAACACCACTTCAAATTGCTTTTGCAAAGACAATCGCACAGAGACCCATAAACTGTTAGTATATGCTGCCCATAATTAATTGTAGCATTAAAATATGTTGCATCTATAAATAATTGGCATTAATGCATTTTATTAAACCGCCAACTTCTGTCACAAAGAAATCACAAATTCCAGCTCCATGGAGTCTGAAGGCAAGTATTTTGGCGTGTTCAGCTAGTTGCTATCCTTTCCATCTTTCCAAGCATTCGAGATCAATAAGTCATTAATTCTAATAAGTCTTATAGTCTAATATTTTAAGTCAAGTAATATTTCTCGGTGCTCAGTGTTTTTCTTTTCATATCACTGCAGAATTGTGCAATGTGGAGTTAGGCTCCGATAAAATAATTTGCTTGCTATTCAAAATTAGACATTCATAATCAATAAGAGCTCTAAGGAGAAATTATATTAAAGAATACAGGCAGCTTTTCATTGAAATTTCCATTGAAGAGGATCGCATGATTGTAGCGGCCACACAGTACTCGAGTCTATTGCTACGTACAGTTCACCCACCATTATACTATACAGGGTAGTCTGCTCTGTTGAATTGTTCATAGGGGTATATCTAGTAAAATAGATGATTATAGACAATTATTATCTTGTAACCAAAGTAAATGTAAAAAAAATCAAATAACCTAAATTCTGTTGATGTCAACCAGATCTGTTCATGTTTTTCATTCATTTCTGCTTGCACATCAGTTTAAAAGATTTGGAATTTTTTTTAAAACCATTGTGTATATCTAATATGCCATAAATAAAGTATAATTACACGGAAATAACACAATGTAGATATTTACATTTTCTGAAATAAAATACTAAAATTATTTCAGCCAAATCTAAATTTGTCAAAGGAGAAGAACAAAAGCAGAACACATTGTTCTTTACATCCTAATCTGTTCATGCATAGTTCATTGGGTGTGACTATTTCTGTTGATGAGTGCACGATGCAAAGGAAAACTAGGTTTTGCATTATGTTATGCACACATTTCTTATGTTTATACGTGCAGTGCATTTACAATCTTACAGCAAAGCTCGTGTGCAAGAATCAGTAAATGCAACGTACCCGCTGCCCGCTCCAGTTGTTGCCTTGATCGAGTTGATTCGGAGGCGGTTGGCGATGTTCCTCAGTGCTTGCACTGTCTGCTGGTCAGGTTTGTGGTAATCCTCCATGAAGGCGATATATTGAGTTTTAAAGCACCAGAAAAATGGACCAACTACAATCCTCTGTTGAAAATGTGTGGTTTTAATATGTGTGTGTGCGTGTGTGTGTGTGTGTGTTGCCAAAGAGCAAAGCTAGTGTGAGTGTGTGAGTTATAGAGGCAGGCAGAAAGAGAGATAGAAACGAGGAGAAACTGGATTTAACCTACCAGGCATGCACACACATGGATGCACAGGGACACACACACACGCTGACAGACACAAAGTAGGAGGAACCTAGTGACGTGCACTGGGCGTTGCTGCTAAAATATAACGGCATACAGCTAAACTATATACCTTTTACCAGACTATGTTTTGACAGCTAAGGTCACAAAAGGTTGTGAAAGGTCCCAAAGGGTAATTTTAAAAAATGTGTCTGTGTTACAGCATCAGTTCAATTCTATCCCTCCTACAAATCATAGAACTGTGTTTAACCACATGTCCTGCCTATTTAGTTATGGGTGAGTGCATGCAGTCTACCAGTGTGATAAGGTTAAGAAAAACAAAACAAAAAACTCTTGTCTTAGAGTGTGAATAAATACATTAACAAGGAAGAGGAGCGCCTAAAAATCAAAATGATGCCTTCCTCGTCCTTGGTTTGTGACACGACTGAAGGCTCAGGAAGGCTGTGATATTTCTCTGCCATATCTAGTTGCTACCAACAGAGTCTCTTCTAGATAAGTGGTGCTCAGAGTCTTGTCCAATGAGTGGAAGATGGGGAAACATGTCCAAGGGGGATTCTGTCTGTACCTGGTGGGTGAGACTCTGGGAAGAGGTCTTTTGTAATTGGGTAGTGTTAAAACTTACCTCATTTGGAGTGGTTAAGCGATTTGTGGATAAAGAAAAAGAGGAAATAACTGTGTCTGTTAACATCCGAGATTGAAAGAAGATGGCAGGGATAGCTCAGTAGGTAGAGTGATCAGAAGAATCCACTGAACGGCTACCCTGAGGTACCCCTGAGCAAGGTACCGTCCCTGCACACTGCTCCCCGGGCGCTGGATTGGTGGCTGCCCACTGCTTCACTGAGTGAATTGGTTAAATGCAGAGAAGTCATTTCCCTACGCGGATTAATAAAGTATACATTACATTGATAGTGCTAAAAATGTTTCTTATTTTATATTCAAAAACACTTCCCCAGGCCGATGGCTTCCTTCCAAGCCAAAGATGTGAGTCTGTCGAGGAGACTGCCTCAGAGTACTTTGCTCTGGAGTGTTTCATCAGACTGCAAGGTGTTCAAGACCATGTTAATCATGCTGGTGGATGCTTGAGTCAGGAAGGTAGATGGAAGGAAAGGAAAAATCTTTGAAGGTGGTTACATCAAGACAGAAGCTTACACCTTTTCACTTTCCAGCTAGCCATCCAGATATTAACGATGCTGAAAAGAATGATGGGGATTAACTGTATCATTTGCAGGAAGACTCTGATAGACCTCTGGAGGATCTGCGGGGAGCCAGCTAAATTTTCATCTGCAAATTCTGACACCTCCCTCCAGCCCTACAGCTTCATTCTCAAACTCTATCCACCCAAAAGCAGTGATTTAACCTTACCGTTATTCCTCTCCACCTCTGCCAGACTCTGATAATACAATGGAGGACTCTCAGCTACCTTCAGGTCAAGGTTCCTCACCTCTGTTTACAGATCTACCAGCTCATCCACTTCATCGTTTTTATTTTACTGTGGTAAAAGAGGAAGATCCAAGTAGCTCCACAGTGTAGTGATTTACATATTTCTCTTACAGTTTGTTCCTGGGAGGAGGCACAAATTCATTTGGAGTTGTGAGAAGGGAACCAGTGTAAAAACTCTCATGGAGCTACATGGTGTGGTGACCCATTGTGAAAACTACAAAGCCCTTTTTCTTCTTGAAGAGGAAGACCCTGCTGGAGGATTTGCTGGAGATTTTGATACTTTGTGCACTGTATAAAGTCTGCATGTGGTGATAAAAAACAAAAACAAGATTAAAACTCTTGAAGCATTAAACCAATCAGGAATCATTTGTATTATTATAACAACCTCTCTTATCGTGTTGTTCAGAAAGCTAATCTATACTTTTGTTGTTAAAATGTTACGTCTCAACCAAGTACTGAATGCTTTTTTATATTTTAGTAGTGTGTCACACAAACAGCAAATATTGTCAAAAAAGTAAGAAATCTTTGGGGGTGCTTTGATTCATACCCCCAAAAATGGGCTAAAATCACCCCTGATCTACAGCCTTTGCGAACAGCATCTGACAGACCTGTAATTATGGGGAGGGTTGTCCTGCCATCTAGAGGAAAATCTTTGATATCACACTGGTCTATTTCTACCGATTTCTACCGTATGAACCGATAGCATCTTGGAGACAAATCAATACTCGGTGCACTCTTTTGTCTGCGACATTTTGGTGGGGGACCTGAACCTGAAGTTCAGGTGTAGGGGGCAGGGTGTAGACCAACTACATTTTACAACATATAAGCCCATGTTAAATTTGCTATTAAGACTGGAACTTAATATAACTATTATTATTAGATATTACTAAACAACACGGTAAGCTTAAATTCAAAAGGATGACTCCTTCTAGAAGAAAATCATTTTACTTAGCAGCCATATCAAAACATATGTCAGCACTTATAATAAATTATAATTAATTTGAAGCGTTTTCTAAATTAACTTTCATTTCAAACTTCAAATGGACATAAAATGTGCAGAATATTCAGTCAACCCTGATACAGACTGTCTAAATGTTTGCTCACTTTGCACAGAAATAAGATTAAAAAGCATCTCTCCTGGTAGATACACTTTCACCATCTTTCTATCTAAAGTTCTCTCATAAATGTCATTTCAGAATTGAGAGCCACGTCTCTCTGTTATGTCTCTCCCAGTATTATCATTTATCATTATCATAAATGTGCTTTTATAAAATGTTTTAGAATATGTATCAAGCAGAAAACTTCAGCAACACATTACACATACAGATATAATAAACAAATGCAAAATGAACAGCATATGTAAGCTTTCAATTTCTGTTTTGATCAAATGGCACTCACTGAGCAGTCTTTACCTTAAAAATCCCTTGGAAATGCAATCACTGTACCCTAAGCTAGCACAGGAAGTGCGGGTCATACTACACAGAAACAGTTTGTCATGTGCTGATCTGTAAAAACAGCTCAGATTTTGAAATGATGGCTCCCAAGGCATCTGAGTAACTTCGAAAGAGAAACAGTGTAACTGCCAATACAGTAATTTCTAAAGTTACTCGGATTACGCTCACCCCATCTCTGCAGCGCTAGCTAACGTCACGTCTGAACCGTGAACGCACCACAGCGGTGAGACGGGAAAATGACGCATGCAGGCGGGATCATGTGGTCATTTAACGGTCTCTGTGGCATCAGCTGAAAGAACCACCGGACAGCAGCTCATAAAAGCTGAAATCGCTCGACAGGATTTTGTATTAAACTGTCAATCAGACTTCCTTACTCATTAACTGAGTTTCACTTTGAACCCGTTTGTATATTGGATCATGCAGTATTACAAAAAGGATAGAAATATGGAAAGACTGTCCATCGTTATTTCTGAATGTTTTCGTGTGTACAGTATGCAATATGCAGATATCAGAAAGTAAGCTTATAATTAACTCAATATATTGAGCAATTTTATTTAATTTTTTTAGTTGAAAAGATGAAAATAATACTGACACGTGCCAAAAAATGTGTGTGTATATGTGTATAGGCATCAGCAAGGCATAATGTTGCAAATGCTATATGAACAGTCATTATTTTCCAGTACTCCATTTTGAAAGTCCTTTCGTCACAGCCAAGAGTATTCTAAACATTAGACACCAGAGGACACTGTCTCCCCATAAATGTTGTATGAATGTAACCAAAAAAAATGTTCCTCTATACTATTGTTATACTATAACAGCCAGGGGTGTTATAGTGGGGGAATCATTAGAAGAATAACATATTTATTCAAAGATAAATTATTTGGTCACTTCACAGAGAAACCAAACAAGTATTTAGTAACTCCAACAGGATCCAAACAAACTGAAGTGTGAGCTGAGAGTGTAACTACTACAATTGATCAGCCCCTCAACTGTCCCTGTTTCATTTTTCACTTGATCTTTACAGTCATCAGATGATCTCTATGGATTCATTCGCTCTTCTGTAGCTTCGGAGTCAGGTCTCAGCACCTGTGCATTCACAGCCAAGCTGATGCCATCAGTTGAGCCTCCTACTGCTATCCTGGTTCCACCGACGTTGTCCTTCTCTCAGTTTCCAGCAACTCCTCTGGGCTCCTGGGTCCTGTCAGAAAAGCTTTGCTTCACAGGGCCCCACAGGTGCCAGCCAATGGTGGCATGGGAAGACAACACCACGTGGTGATGTTCAGCCAATGTCTGACACCCACAGTTGCACTCTTCCTGGAGGGAAAGTACATTCAGAGATCATAAATGTTTCTATTTTTAATCTCTCTGGCAGAAAAAGAGGAGCAAAGCCACCACTTTTGAAACAATGCCTTTAAATAACACACAACATGTGTGTGGTTGCACGAGCACAAAGCAAAAAAAGAGATTCATCATCGTTGGCTTTGAATGCTTAATGGCATAGACAGAAGATACAGATGTACACACGTATACAGATCAACATACGTAATGTGCATATGTACTCAGGCATGCTGACATATGAACACGAGTACACTTGCACACAAATTATTCTCACATTCATATATATATATGTACATATATTGCACACACAAAAATGTTGGTGCTTCTCTTTAATACCAGTCGTTACTTCAGGCTTGAGCCTTTTCCACTCTGCTCTTATCACTCCATTTCCTTAAAACATTCTGCAGTCACCATGATGACATGGTGCTTGCCCTTCTATCAGAATGCTGCCTGTCACTCAAAGGTCCCACCCATTGACAGTGCATGATACAAAAGCATGGCATTTGTGATTGAATTATCAACAGAGCACTCAGTCATTCAAATGCTCAGGACAGGATTTGGTGACCACCCTGTGAGTGGTCTGGGTTGGGCTGAGATTATATATGCAAAAAAAAAAAAAGTGGAAATCAAAGAGATGTCAAAGTATATCCATATCACATTGGTGCTATAGTTTATTGAGACAGCTGAAGCAAATAGTATTCAATGAGCAATTTAAAGAAATATAAAGGTTTGAGTGAAGAGCTTTAGCTAAGCAGACAAAGTGGATGAAGAAAA